GGGGTGGGTTGGGGTGCGGCGGGATTCCGCTTAATTATCTGAGCCATTTGCCACCCCGCTGGCCCGAGTCGCCTTTGGTTAGGGATGAGATGACTATTGTTGGCAAACTCTTTGGCTCTTTGCTCTTTTCCTCTCCCTTCAGCCCCGTCCTCTCTCTACATGCCGCCGTCACAAACGGGGACGAAATAGCGAAGCAGAAGAGAGCGGACGATTTGAGATAAAGACCTCTATGTGTCTCCCAAAATATGATGAGAGCGAGGCGACGCGGCCGTGAGAGGTAGAGAGGGTAGCGTTGGGGGGGGGGGGATAGTCTGCGGCGAGTGAGACAGACGGCTTTGATGTCTCCTCAGTGGTCAACCAGCCGTCGCGATGGGGCCTCTCTCTCACTCTCTCTCTCAGCGGGCCCCTTTCATCTCTTTCTACCCCCCTCTTCTACACACACACATCCCTCCCACAGCTGCGATGCGGTCTCGGCGAGTTCCACGGCACGTGGATCCTTCCCTGCGCTGTAGACCCGACTGAGGAAGACAACGAGCACTGACTGTGTCTCGATGGTTTCCTGACTCGTTCGAGCTGATTCTATAAAGCTTTATATTTGTTTGATAAATAAAGTTCCGATTTTTCAATTGAAAAGATTAATCTTTCAAAACTTGCAGGCAATAGGCATGTTCATTGTGAAAAAAAATTATCGTGATGCTAGAAAACTGTCACGGTTAATTTCTACTAACTTCGTTTTTAACTACGATGCACCGTTATTTTACGAATTGCTTTGTAAAATAAGATCCAAAGCTCGATGAACTAAATAAGAGTACGAAATTTGTATATACTTTGTTCAATTTTTTAACACCAAAATTTGCATTCGTTACGAAATGAATTAGTAAGTTACGAAATGTTTAGTGAATTGACACTTACGAAATCTTTTTGTAAATTATTTTTTACGAAGCATTTCGTAACATTTTTTCCGTAAAGCCACGAAAACTTTGTTGTTTATCAGTGATTCCCAGCGCGGAGTGAAAAACAGCGCAACAAATGCCAAGCGCCACGACCGAGGTTTGCGGTGAAAACTCTGTTTCTGTGGGAGGTTTTCGCGTCTCCTAGACGAGGGCCCGCGGCCCAGCCCGGCGGCCTACGAGGCGATCCTCGGGCGCGATAGAGAGTCCTCTGCATGTTAATGGCAATTAGGAGAGGCGAGAGCGGGGGAGACGGACGCACACCGCTGCGCACGGTCACGTGCGGGAGCGAGACGGAGAATGACAAGAAACGGCGAAAATAACAAAAACTAGAGAGGGGCGCTTAGCGGGGAAGAGCAGGAGGACTCAAGGCGCGTGAAAACAAAATACACACGAGTGAGAAAAGAACAGCAGTTGTAGCGGCATTAGTGAGGGACACAGAGAGGGCCTCGCAGAGGGCTCACCTTGCGCAACCAAAAGTTTCATAGGAAAAGAAACAAGAGAGTCAGCCGTGAGCATGTTCACGCGGCGTCGTGTGAGTGTGTGTGTGTGTGCGACTGTACTTTCAGGCGTGTCGAGTCAAAGCCTGACACAAGGAACATAGCACTCCGCAATCGCCCGCGAAATGAAGAGTCCAAACATAGCGACGACACAATGCTAGATTTGCCTTTAAAAAACAAGAGGAAAAAGAACAACAAGTGCACTCCCGTGAGCAGATCAAAAGAAAAATGACCAAGAATTATGGATAACGGTTGGGACAAAACAAAAGCAAAAAGACGATGGGAGGACAAAAAATAGAGGCAAAAAGGGGGGGGGGAAGGTTAAAAATCTGAACTGAGTGGCCTCGGGAAGATGAGGGCTTTGCTTGCAGCGCATTTTAACCACAAACACACACACTCACACACACACATACCACACACGTACACAAGAGAGTTCAAATCTGCATCTGAAAGGATTACGGATGGCGGGCAATGCCACGGGAAGTAGCAGAGGTAGGGGGGGGGGGCGTGGAATGATTCCAGTTCGTAATGACAACGAGGGCGGCCAGGTGCCGCGCGCAACGACCGGACCGCATTGAGCGGCGCAGGGCTCGGCTGCTCAAGGCGCGGCTCAAAGACACGCGCTTCGCGCGCCTCTAGCTCCGCAAAGAATGGAGCGGTAACAATAATTCGGAGGATAAGAACCAAAGAGGTGCGCCCCTTTGGCCCCGCAGACCACACGGCGCGGCGGTGTGCGCGCCACTGCCGCAAGATGTGTAAAGACTCTGTGGAAAGGATTATTTAGACGTAGATATCAAAACTTTTGGGTCGCAAAAAACGTTCTGTGGTGAAATAGGTTCATCTTTTTGCTGCCCATGCTTTTCCCTTTGGTTATTAGACTATTTCGAACGACGACACAGCAGGCCGAAGCACGCCGACAGCGCGACAACACGGGAATACGGCTGCTCCTCAATGGTTCTGCTCGCGCCAAACAACAATGGGGGACAAATATGTGGCGCCATGCGGGGCGTGGCGGGGCGTGGCGGGGCGCGGCCGGACCGCAATTGTCTGCCGCTGCAAAGAGACCCCAATCCCAATCTGAATCCGCTTTCCGATCCGCCCGTGCTGCTTTGTGAATCGTGCCTGAGCGCCACGCAGCACAAACCAAAAGCCAGCCTCGAGTAGAGTTACCACCATGATGATTCTTTCCGAGGTCTACTTCAGCGAGAGAGTGCCAGAAACACGACGACAGCAGACTCGGAAAAATAAAGCCGTGACTCGTGAGGAGGAGAGCAGAGCACAAGGATCCCTCTTGTGCGCGAGTTTGTTTCTATCGACGAGGAATGATGAGAATCGTAATTCGAGAAAGACAACGGCCCACAGCGCTCCAGAAGAGGGTCGGCCACATGAGGGCAGGACAGTGCTGCTGCTGCAGCCGCCGCGCGCAACGCTCTCCAAACCACTTCAAGGATTCCCTTTAACTGCTTTCAATAAAACTGAATTCATGCCCGTCACTCGGCCATTTGTTCCTCAATCTCTGCTGCTCGCCCCCTCCACGACGCCACTCCACGGCGACGTCCTCCTCTCCCTCTCTCTCTCTCGTCGTGTCTCGTTTATTCCTCCTATTTACTTATTTACGTTTCAGTCGTTTGCCGTTCAAATGGTCCCTCCTCTAATCATGTGTGCAGTCGTCCCGGCCCGTCCCGGCCCGTCCCATCTCTTCTCCGTCTTCCTCCCCTCGGTGATCTATCCGGGGCTTTAATGTTGTCACGTCATGTAAGCAGGCGCGAGGCCCGGCGCGAGGCCCAGCGCAGGGCCGACTGGGCCGACCCCAGAGGAAGCAGGACCCGCTGCCGTGCGACAACAACGCCCCCGCGCCACCAATCGCGGGCGGCGCAAATTGAGCGCGAAAAATAAAACGCAAAACGAGAAAATGGCGCGGCGACACGGTTACGTACACTGCGCGGCGCAAAACTCGGACAGCAAATCACGCCGGCGACGAACGCGGCAGGTGGGCAAGGTGTGCTCGGCGGCGAGACCCGCGCAACTGGCGGCCGGGCGCGCGCGAGTTGCGCCGCTCTAGGCGCGGAGGAATGCCTTGTGCGAGAGATTTCATTATCATGCAAACGACACGAGGCGAGCGCGCGGATGAAGGACCGCCGTATCTCGGGCCGCCGCCCAAGAAGCGGCCCGTGGAGGGGGAAGGGGAGCAAATGATCAAGAATTTCCTGTCAAAGATGCTGTTTTCCTTTTTAGCAGATGATACATTATACTCAACTGAAATTAATAATACTTTACTTAACTATGTATCATTGCTTGTACTCTCATGCGGAGCGCTGAGAGGCACCAGGCATGACGTCATCCAAAAGTGTGTGTAGGGGCGCGCGATGAGGTTCCCGCCCGCCGTGCCCCGTGCCCCAGCCAGACGCCCCCTCTCCCCTCCCTTCTACCTCCCTCCCTCCGGCAGACTCGGCTCGCCGCTCGGCTCGAGGCGCAGCTCGTGGCTCGGCTCGGACCGTCTCGGCTGAGGAACGCGCGCGGCGCGGTAATTCAAACTCTAACGTAACTATGAAAAGACAGAACTAAATGAATTCAGAAACATTATTTTCAAACCATGTCTCTATTGAAAAGTATCACTCGCAAACTGTCTCTACGTCCCTCTTCACACTGACTTAGTCTTAGGCCGAGTCTTAGACCCTTCACCACATACAAAGTATAGGTATAGACTGGAATAATTCTTGAATTCGTATCATCTGCTTTCACGATCCGTTCCTGAACGGAACTTTTTTTTTCTCGCCTGTTCCAGGTGGCCGAGGGAATCGCCGGTGGAACACGGCGAGCCGCACCTCTTGGAATCATCAGCGCTTTTCGTCTGCTCGAATCAGAATGGTTAAAAGGGGCCGCCGCGCTGTAGGTGGGAGGGGACACGGCGCCTGATGATAATGGCAGTGGAAATCAGAGCGAAGAGCAGACTGCTCCCGGCGGGGGAAACTGAACTCATGCCGGCAGAGAAACGAGTGCAACTTGTGCGTTGTAGGAGACCATGTCAAGTCATTAACGTCCGTGGAACTAGTCGATTTTCGAACGGGCGGCCCAGGCGGGCGGGCGGGCCGGCCCGAGGCGCTGTGCTCTCTATATCCCTGTCATTGAGGCCCGTCCGGGACGGAGAGGCCTTCACACACACACACACTCACACGTCCTCCCAACATTTTTTGGGTCGCATCGCCGTCGCTCCGCGCCTCGCGCCTAATAACCGCCTTCGGGAAGGACCGCGTCCGGAGCAACATGCGGGATTTCGTTCCCATTCTTTTTCGAAATAACTCCCGAGAGCAGCGGCCGCGGGTAAAAAACCGAGAGAGGAAAGGAAAAGGTTTTGTGTCGTGGCGTCACGTATGGGGCCGCCGGGTCACGGCTGGGGACCGTGTGCCTGAAGCAATGCTCACCACTCTTAGGGTCCATGAGCGGCAGGTTGGGCGAGCGCAGCGCCTTGGCCGCCACCGCGTTCTGGTCCTGCAGCGCCGCCAGCGTCAGGATGGTCTGCAGGTTCTGGGGCAGCATCACCTGCGAAACGAAAAAGAAAATGCAATTTATTATTTGGGGGACAATAACTGAACACATGCGGGCTGCTGCTGAACTTCATCAAAGACGTTGCTGGCCCACCGCAGTATGAGCGCAGCAGGCGGCCCCGCCGCGACTCCACCCGCACTTACCTGCGGGCCCGCCCCCTGCTTCGGTATTCACAACGGGCCGATATTTATTTATCCATTAGGTTACCGTTCCGGACCAACCACCCGAACCACCCAACCATTCCCTGACAGCGCCGCGCGAGTTACGGCTAAATTAATGAGTCTTTGTAATTACAACCCCTTCCATGATGTTTGCGCCCCCTACACATTTTTCATTATTTTCTTCGGCCCTCCGCTGCAGTCCCCATGCCCAATCTCATCACTTTAGCCCCCTCCGTCACCGCGGATTGGAAGGTGGATATTATAAGAGAGAGAGAGTTAGAGCGTGAGAGTCAGGTGAGGGTGACAGAGAGGGGGGAAAGGGGGAGGGGAGTCTAGTCCGTTCTAGCCCGGGTCTGGCCACCTTCACTTAGTGTTTGGCGCGTAAATGATTTAGCGCCAGCAGACCGCACAGCTCCCATCGGGGCAGGGCGACGCCGGCTTCAGAGCGTTTGTTCGAAATCACGTAACAGTCGACTCCCCGGCCGAGTGGAGTGGGGTGAGGGGGCGAGGGGCGGTGGCGGCCGGTCAATTGCCGAAAGGGGTCTGGATCCTCCACAAATACTGCGCAGCTTGCATTAGGCATACGCCGCGCCGGGCCTCCGCCAGTAGCCATGACGCATTCATGAGGAGCTCCGGATCAGAGCGGGCGGGGCCGACAGCGGGGCCGACACAAACGGCGTTTAATTGTACCCGCGCCAATCACCACGGCGGGGCTCAACCACCTCATTTAACGCTCAAACTTTAACGTGTTGTTGTTTGCCACAACATCATCGTGAAGCTAAAAGAAAAGGAAGCAGCAGAGGAGGGGATACGCGAGAGAGAAGCAGAAACACACACAGAAACACACATACATACACACACACAGGGGCAGACTTCCATTGTGTCGTCGCTATATGCTTTTAATTGCGAGGAATCGGGAATTAATTGCCGGCCACCGCGTGACATTATGATGGATCCGTGCGAGTGCCGCCGGGCCGGAGCGGAGCGGGGGCCGGCAGGTGGCGCCCGCGGTGCTGCGGACAAGCGATACAGGCTTTTCACTTCACACCCGCAACTACCGACACGTCATCGGATAACAAAAAAGCAAAAACGAAAAAAAGTTGAAACAAACTTTTTAAGAGAATCAAACAAATTAAAGTTGTGACAATTGCTGTCAACACATCGCGCGCCCATAATGGTAATGGTAATGATGGGGGCAGACAGGCGGGCCGCTAGGCAGACATGCAGGCGACAGACTGCTTCAAATGGCGATGAAAAATCACGCGGCCGGCGAGAGAAGAGACGCGCGGGCAGAGCCGGGCCAAAGGAGCGGCGACATGATTGAATGAAACTAGAGGACTGAGGGTGTGAGGCCGCCCGCCGCACGACGCCTTCAGACCGAGCAATTTTCCATCTTTTTGTCAAGTCTGTTGGCAACGCATGTCTCTCACTCATCTCACGGCCCCCCCTCCCCCGCGAGCAGCAAAACTGTCTGGCAGAGCGCCGGCGACACGTCATTTCCACTTTTCGGCTCTCGCGGGAGGTGACCACGCGAAGAGGGTGAAATAATAACCCTCGCGAGGAGCGTTGTTGGGTTAGGGGGGGGGGGGGGGTGAGGAACCTCTGATTGAAACGCGTAACAAGGCCGCATTACGGCGTCAATATTTAAAAGCGCGGCCCGTTTGCCGGGCCCCGCAGTTCCTTTTAATGACTCGGCCAGTATAGTTGGTTCACGAAATTCTGACACACCGGCAGGCCTTTGGACCCGAGGTCTCATTGTAAGCGTCATTACGATGCGTGAAGGCCTGCTGCCGAAGGGTCCCCGGCCCTCGCCGGGCCCAGTGATACGGCTGCCAAACATCTTCGCGTCTCTTTTATGAGGGCCCACTTCCTGCGGGGGAGTGCGAAGTATGGCTTGGCAGCTCTAGCCTAGCTATCCGACCCTTATAATGAGTGTGACCATACTGCTTACGACGTCAACAAAGAATCAGGGAGTGATTGTCTCCAAGTCCTTTGCGTGCCGGTGTGTCAGAATTTCGTGAACCAACTATAGGCGCCCGCAGAGGAGACCCCGTTAATACCTCTGTTTTCGTTTCCCACCCCTCTCTATGCAACTGCCGCACAGAAAAACCAAAGTGTCTGAATGTCACAAACTTTGCAGGTGTTTGATTTCCATGGCGGACGAAGAGTGCTGAAAAGTGCAAAACATTTCAAGAAAGATTCACACCTTACTCGTTCAAGCGTGCATGTTAAAAATGGCAATTCACGCACCTTTAAGTGTGTGAAATTTACACACTTGGTTTTGAGGTGCAAGATTAGACTTCTGTGGGATACCCCTTTCCCTTTTTTTCTCTATTTCTTTTTGCCCGCGCTCGTGGATACCTTACTCTGAGCGCAGCTCACCGATATCCTGGGCGCAAGGGGGGAGCTCTAGCAGGGCAAATAGGCGTGAAAGCTGGTCGGCTGCTGGGCGGGGGCCGCGGGAGCCGTGGGGGCCGGCACCTCCCGCGGGAGGACGCGCGCGCCGCCGAGACATCGGAAATAATTCATCTAAAGACTTCCTGCCGCTGCCGCTCAAGTGGAGTACAAAAAGAAGGGGGCCCCGGACCAAATACTGCAGCGCGGGCTCAATCGGTCGCCGTCAGACCGTCGGAAAGCCTGAAAAAGACACCCGCCCAGCCTTCCTTTCAAGTGACTGACTGAAGCGCGCTCCTTTGCCCCAAACTGGAATTTAGACTCCTCGAATAGCGCCATCGCCATTCCGAAAGGTTATGGGCCCCGGCAATCAAAAGCGAAGCAGGCGCCCGCCCCGCGCGCAGCGCAGCACAGTCCGGGACATATAACGAAAGCGGTGATTGACATTGAGGCGGGAACATTTGAACGGAGTCTAACTAAACCGTTCCCATCCTCCTCGGCCACTGCTTATTAGTCCGCGCAGCGCCTCGCCGCCACATCTGCAGCGCTGCTGACCTCCTGCGGTTTTGAGGTCGATGCCGATTTTCCAGCGACTAGATCGGGATTAATGACGACCGTGCAGTAATCGGTATTTCAGTGCGCTCCGTTATGCCTCCGCAAACGGCGGGGGCGGCCTGCAGCACTGCAGGGGGGGCAACGACTCGGGTCGCCGGCTCATCATTTCCTCCCGCGCTGCTCGAGGTCGAGGAGCAGCGCCTCGTTTTTCTACACACTCTTCCCAATTATCACTGCATCCTTTTCTAGATTACAGAATGTCCCGGGTAACGAGGGGGCGGGGCACGCGCGCGCATCACGGCGGTCATCAAGAAGTGCGAGGGGGGCATTAGCTGCGGCCCCGCGCCCCCGAGTCCACAGCACTCGATGCAGAGCAGGAGTCACACGTCGCGGGGGTCGAAGGAAGGCCCCCCCCCCCCCCCCCTTCGCCCTACCTGCTGCAACACCATCAGACCGGCCATCTCGCTATGCCCGGAATCGAAAAACACGACTTTTTCCGCCCACGGAGCCAACTGGGTTTGTTTTCCCTGTTCTATGATACTCGGGGCCCTCCTAGCCCTGCCCGGCCCTGCCGGCCAGGCCTCTCGTTTTAGGAGCCCGCTTCCGGTCATTCCTGATTACCGTCTGCGGTTTATCTGATTGGGCCGCGCTCCTCCAGGAGGCCGTGCGGGGCGCTGGACGTGGGGCTCGTGCCGCCGAGGCCTGGCAGAGGCCCGGCCGAGGCCCGGACGGGCAGGTGCCGAGGCCCCCGCACAGGGCAGAGGCCCGACACCTGGCGGGGCCGCGCAGTGCCTGTCAATGAGCCCACAGAAACACTAGTGGCCAGCTCAGCGTCGCCCCGAGGTTGCTCCCTCCTCACGCAGCCCGCCCGCACCCC